AGAAAGACGCTATGGAATCACTAGTGGGAAAGAAAGAAAAAGGATCATTTTTTAACACCAAGAGAAACATAACTCAGCGATCTAGCTATACAAAGAAAGAGACATAAAAAGATGGAACGGGGTCGGGAGAAATGGATCGAGGCAGACAAACTGGTATAATATGGAGAAAGTGATAGCCACCTTCGGGTAGTGGCTAGACACTAGCCTGCTGCTCCAAAGGTCGTGGGTTCACATCTGAATGGTGTAGGACTTTTTAAAATATGGCACTATCTTCCAAGTCGATACAGTCTCAAATAATTACCAGGTAAAAGTTCTGGAAAGTAAAGGTGATCGGCTTATTGCTGACCACATCAACCACCACGTTCCGATTGGTCTATACAAGTTGATTTAGCCCAATATACCCAATTAGCCTGATGGCGAGGAAAAGGAGACTTCACATTACTTTCAATTTTTGTGTGATTCCAGTACTAACTTATGGATGCGAGAGCTGGAAAGCAACGGTAGCTCTAGATTTAAACAAAAAACATTTAGAGAATTTTGAGAACAGATGTCTTAGAAGAATACTAAATCTCCACTGAACAGATTTCAGACCCAATAAGCAAATAAGACAGGAGAACAAGCAAGATAATGCATCCAACTGTATGAGAAAGCCCCGCTGGACCTACAACGGCCATGCACTCAAAATGGATAAGACAAGACCCCCATGAAGCGCTCGTATGGACAAGAGGAAGACCAAGAGAGACTCTACGTAGAACCATCATCAGGGAAGGCTCAACTATGGTCCTAATGAACACCCAAGACCTAAAGCAGGTGGCAACGAACCGCCAGACATGGAGAGCTATGAACTTTGCCCTATGCCCCGCCCTAGGCCCAAGAGGAAAGACTAACTAACATTCTTCTTTTTATGCCTTTCTATCCCCCAGTGGAGCATAGGCTCTTAACCAACTCACGCCAGGTCGTTCTATCCTTCACTATTACATGGAGCTCTCCCCTATCCAACGCCAGCGTCTTTTCCTCACCTCTTGATCCACTAGAGCTTGTTTAGTTCTCTCCCAAAGTTCTACATTAGTCATTCTATCATACCATTTAATACCTCTATTCTGCGCAGGCACCAGTTAATGAATGTATGTAATTTATCAGTAATTGCCTTATTTGTTCTCATTGTTTCTGCCCAAAACAAAAGTACTGATTTCCCTAGTGCTATGAAAGCCCCTCTTGACTTTTGTATTCTTATTCTAATTAATATTACTTCACTATAATAGGGAGTGTGAAAAGTAGATTACGATGATAGGAGAAAAAGAAATAAAGCAATGGTAAACGACGACAGAGCTATAGAGAAGACAGTGTGACAGATACAAGATAAAAAGGTGGCGAGCGACACAAATCGACTGCTTAGTAAGTAAGTTTAACCCCACCAGGACATCACACACAGCGACAAACACCCGGTGGTACAAAGTGCCACCATGCTGATGAAAATCACCCGTGTTAGAGGTCCCAGAAACCCTTTTCAACCGTTGGGTTGTATTAGGGCCCCCGGCAACAGCTATAGTAGGGGTTAAAATTATCGAAAAATTGCATGGTGCCCGTCTCGAGTTTTACTTCTAGTAATTCCCTCTGGTCTCTGGGTAGTAAGATCAGACGCCCGTGTGCATTGTTGCGCACGTAAAAAATCCCTTGGCACTTGAAAATCGAAAAGAGTAGCCTAACGAAGCTGCCCGGGCAAAATTTTGAGTTAAAAATCTACCCAAAGTATTTCAGGATTCTCGCCGGTGCTACAGAGCCTGTGCACTGTGCCAGACAATGCATGGATCGGCACTCATAGAAAGGAGTAAAAAGATATAAGGACACAGTAGACTTCATAAATATCCAAAAGCTATATTGACGGTAACTAATCACGCTGAACAACACTCAGAGCAGAGATGTGATTTTTTTTAGAAGAATACAAAGAATCTCATGAAAGGATGAACAAACAAAGAACCAGTTCTCATGGAGGCAGATAGAAAGTCATAAACTGATAAGAACAGTTACACGTACACCGTTAGTGTTTTTAGACATGTTATGAGAAGAGAAGGAACTGACTCGACAACGTGGAAACTACTGACACGAGTGGTGGGAAGAGAGCAGGAGGAAAGCAAAGAGATAAACACCTGTATTAGCTGGTCAGATGGACAGGGTAAAACAAAAGCATTGAACTGATCAACTATTCTGGTGATCGTTCGAAATGGCGACAAATGACAGCTTGCCGATACGGCATATGATGTTAGTGATGATGTAGTTAGATGTCTAACTCTACTGGAGTGCACATAGCAATGACCGCTGCATGTTTCAACAATAGCTTTTACCTCCCACAGCCGTCCACGCCACTCCTCACTCGGTAAACGGGTCTCGCGGCTTCATGCTCGTAATTATTCTCAATTGTTTACACACACTGAATGGGGAAAGGATCTAAGAGAGTCAAACACGGCAGTCATTTTAGCATCCCTAGTTTAATTGTCCTGTGTGTGTATTTATTTAAGCATCACTTGTCCTGTCCATCCTTCCGTCAGTCTCACAGAAGAAAGAACGGATAATAATATCTCATATAATTCAGGCAAACATGTAAACATGCAAACTGACTGTGTTGATGACATTTTAGTTTCCGCGCTCAAAAAATTCAACTATTTCCATGTGTATGTCTGTCTCTGAACTTGGTGTCCATCGATACTTCAATCTGATCCTCTTTCTCGTCTTTTCCCCAAACCGTGCATATGTCAGCAACCTTAAATAATGCGGCTGTCTCTATAAGATCCTTCGTCCGTTGATTTATTCGACTTTTTACACCGTCTATCTCATAGTCTCTGTGTCAGTTTATCTATTTGTCTAGTTGTGTTTTATAATCTATATCCACTTATATCAGTCGTGTATCCAAATGCCCTATGTAAATCTGATCTAAATAAACACGCACTTTCTTCCTAGTACATAGGGCATACGATACTCGACTTGTATCTGTATTCAACAATCGGCATTTGATGAGCAACACTTTCCAAATCACAACAGCCCACTTTACTTCCCAGGACTTTACCTCGTGCCCATTCTAGGCTTGCTTGGCTGGTGGCAAGATCATTTTTAATGAACCCAATTCGATGCGGATTCCAACACGAGAGCGTGGGCCAGCATAAGAGCCTCTGGTCACTTCGTGACTGCTGCTTTCAGTGCTGTAGGTACGTCTGTTTCATTGTTTTGCTGCCCACCTCCTATTTCTTCTTTTACGACTTTATTGTTAGCGAGGCAGTGGGTCTATTCTTTTCCCCAATCATGGGCCCCAGAACCCAGACTTGTTTGCGTTCACAGGCTGTGAACTCCGGTGGAGAGTTCTACATGTGCGACCACCACAGGACTTTAGTGTTGCTCCCAAACCTGAGTGTTGCATGCACCATTTCTATTTCATAGATCTAGCTTACGTGCTTGCAGATGAAGGTTTATGAGTCTTGTGTCGTGAGCACATTACTGTACTGCTGCGAATCCTGGACTCTCTATGCTCCACAGGAAAAAAGACTGAATACCTTCCATATGCGCTGTCTGAGACGCATCCTTGGTATATTATGGCGAGACCTTGTCTCCAACGAATGTGTGCTCACAAGAGCAAAAATACCATCAATGTATTGTATACTGAAGCAAAGACGTCTGCGCTGGCTGGGACATGTCTCCCGCATGGAGGATGGTCGTATTCTAAAAGAACTCCTATATTGTGAATTGGTAACTGGGAATAGACCTACAGGAAGGCCAAAGCTGCGCTATAAAGATGTATGCAAACGTGACCTAATAGATACCAACATAGGCACAGAGACATGGGAAAAATCAGCTGCAGATCGACTACTATGGAGACAGAAAGTGAAAGATGGACTGTCACATTTTGAAAGAAACCGAACACAACGAGCTGTGGAGAGGAGGCACCGGAGAGTAAAACTGCCTCACAACGAGGGAGTATCTGCTTTTGTGTGTATCCTGTGTGGCAAAGACTGCCATTGGACTTTACAGTCACAGCAGATGCTGTTCCCAAAGCCAGCGGCACATCTCCATAGTCCCCCGGGACTGACGGGTGCCATGGTTGCTTGCAGATTGTTGGAACATTGCCTCTCAGGTAGACAGATACACACTGACTTCGAAGAAAGCCCCCCCCCCCCCTTTCCCCCCCCCCACCCCACACCACACCACACCAACTATTAGTCAACTATTATGACAGACTTGTAGGAGAGGCTAAGTTTGTTTTTCTCCACAATGGGATTCCGAAACCCACACGGGATATATACAGCCAAAGTGATTGTCTTTTAATGTAGTCGATTTCTTTTGTGGTCTCTCTTTTCCTTTGTATGTTTGTATATCTGGGCCTGTCTGGTTTCCTTTCTGTCCTTTTTCCTATCTTTATTGAATACTGATTGTTGTGTTTGTATTGCATGTATAACCTAATCTGCGGGCCTTATCTCACTTGCCGTAACGTGGTTGTTTTCTTTGGCGAAGTGTCACATTCAAAAGGGCAATTAAATGCCCCAAGCTGGGTCCAGTGTCATCCAAGGACTACCGTTGAGTTACCTACCTGGACACAAGTGACCGCTTTGATCTTACCGGCTTAGAGCCGGCACTGACACACTCACTGTTGATACATGTGTATCAATAAGGTTGTTACTATCCTTTCATATCTCATTTCTCGTTAGGTCACATTCACATAAGCATCTAGGAGTGTCCACCATTGTTCGTCTAACCAATGAGATGACCGGTCAGTTTCAGTCCTCCCCAGACGGACTTCCTTCAGTCTTCCCGAGCTTTTAATTCAGCAGGTTGCTTTCTTTTCAATTTCAAAGTTGGAAATATTCAAGAGGTGGATTTTGCATACATGTTTTAATTTCTTCTAATCGGTCGTAGAAAGTTCAGTGTTCTCAAAGCTGTTGTTATAGCAGTTTCATAGCAAATTTGGATTTATTTAAGACGTAGTTTTATAATCACTGTTACTAGATTTGTTTACCATGGCCGAGTCTGTGCTGAAGAGTCCTGCCGTGCTTAAGTTTGATACCGATTTCTTTACGAAATCTAGTCTAAAACCAGAAGGAGTTATAGATACAGGTGTGTGTGGGGACATTGTCGTCGCTTCACTTCTGGACAAACCGGAGTGGAAGTTTATCGTCAAGAAGTTTAGCTTGCTAGATGAAGAGCGTGTGCCCAGAAACAAAACCATGTTTAACCGTGAGGTTAAATTCATGCAGTCAGTGAGACACCCGTTTCTGGTAAAATGCATCTACGCCGCTGAATGTCCCGGTTATCTAGCGATTTGCATGAAGTACTACTACAGCCGTACACTGAACTTCCATGTTGGCAACATAGACCTGAGCCTGTCAGAACAGTGTGTGGTCCAGGTGGCATGTGCGCTACGGTATCTTCATAAGAACAACCTGGTTCATCTGGACGTAAAGCTGGACAATGTGTTCGTCGATGGACAGCATAACGCCATCCTGGGAGATTTTGGTTTGGCTTTGGAGATGCCAGCTGGACAACAAACTCTGAAAGCAAGAAATATTGGAGGTACTTTCGGCTACTTATCCCCGGAGATTATGAAAGCAGCAGCAGAGACAGAAATTGACCCTTACAAAGTAAGTGTAGCCATTGATAGTGTGTTAATTAGACATCATCGTATTGCTGTTTTACTGTTATCATATAGGTATTCTCTCTCCCTCCTCTTTCTTCATTTATGTATCCATTCATCTTCCAGTACCTCTGTAGGTTTAAACGTCCGTCTATCTACCAGTTTGTCTTTAGGTCTGTATATATGTTTGTCTATTATAATTGTATTGTAGATAATGTGCATCTGACCTATTTAAGAAATACACAGTAGTGTATGGCAACTTAGTACGTTAGACATATGGAATATAATTCTTAATCGTAGGGATCGAATGTGTCCTCGACATGTAGCGAGGTTAATATCAAACAGGCCGCCTCTACTGCCCGTGGTTTTCCTGGTTCCACATTTAGACTGGATCAAACTTGGAGCCAATATCATATTCTCACCGAATTCTTGGTTTGAGCCCAAAAAGTTCGGGCCGACAGGCGAGGTTCTCATAAAAAGATACCACAACTTGTTTAGCTTAGATGATTGGTGATTCATACTAAAGAAGACTGAGTTTTCACTTTGGTATGCACAAAGTTTAGTAATGCACTTTGCCAACTACCTTTCAAGGGTGAAAGACGAAGAAGAAGAACCACAAGAACATAAAAAAATAAGGAAAGGAAGATAACGAATACAGGGAGAGAGAACAATGACGAAGCGGGAGAGGAAGGAAACCGTAGGAATAGGAGAGTGATTAGATGAAGGAGTGTGTGTTGGGGGGGGGGGGTAGTAAAGGAAGAAGAAAGATTACATACAAAACTTGTCAAATCTATCAAAGTCAGTTAATGCAGTATCTTGTCCTCGCAGTGTTATACTGAAGCATAATTTTTTTCAGGGACTGTAAAGCGAAGCTCTTTTAACCCTCTCCCTTCTCGATTCTAAAATACATTGTGGTGCATAAAACCTGTTAACCATCTCCTATTTTAGCAGTCAGAGATGTAAGCAAGACACTTACTGGAAAAACACATCTGTAGTGAGGGTTACATAAATGTAAACAGGTTATGATTCGCCATATCACTTATTGAGTTGTAAAGACTAATATGTTACATTAGGTTTTTATTGTTCCATTTATAGACTTTAACCCAGTTTCCAGTGAGACTCTTTAGCTCTTTCAGTGTCTACTAGTCTTTACTTTAACTTCTTCTACCATAAAAAGAGTTCAGCTTAAGATCGATACATACTTAGGGCTAAAGGAGTTCAACACCTACTGGATGAGACAGAGGCAGCTAACTAATGATTAAGATACCCTATTTCTATTAAAGATCGGCGACTGAAAACACCTGCGAAAGTTATGGTTATTGTTCCACTTCTGGGCATTGGTCTTGCATCAGAATTTGATTGAGTTTTGCGTGCGCATCCGTTTTACATATCTGTGTGGGCAACAGCTGATTCCTTCTTTCTCATGCAGATGTACTTAGACCACAACGTTAACACAGATAAAGTATTGTCTTTAAGGACAGGCATGTAGTGGGGGGGGGGGGGGGGGGGGGAGATCAGGGGGCTTTGTTCTTTTAATCTCCACCCACCCCCCTTCCTAAACGGACCCCAGGAACCCACGCAGAGAGATTTACATAGAAATGATAAATTTTACATCTGTGATAAAAGACAACAAAAGCATCGTATTATCCTTGAAAACTTTACGACCCGTAAAGTGAATAGTTTAGTATTGAAAGAGTGACTGTGCATACTCCCAGCCCTCTCACTAACTTCATGCCTAACCTGTACATCCCCAGCTGGACTGCTACAGTCTTGGCGTTGTCTTGTGGTCACTGGTTTTCCAGAGAGCTCCTAAGCAAGCTGTCAACTACTACTTCGAGACCAGGAAGACACGAGATCTCCAGGAAAATATCAGGTAGGCATTGCTGTATTTATTCAACATCATAATGATTGTAATCATCATCATCCCGCAGCTACAAATCAACCGTTAATCTCCAGCTACACATTTCCTTCATTGGAGTACACAAACGCACACACACATACGCACACACAAGACCACACAATACACACGAATCACAGAACGTCATACCAAGTAAAACAACCATACATAAGACCACATAAGACAACATAGTCACACACAAAGTGTCTCACAGAGCAAAAACCATGCGCACAGGTTTATACAAGACATTAACAACACAAACCAGAGATAACAGTAACTCAAGAAAACAGAAATACTTACAATACGCTGGTTTACACACACATATCTGGCTTTTAAAGACGGCAGAAAAGCACACACACTCAAACATACTCACCTACGCGGCTTTACCAGACAACAGAGACACAAATAATGTCATACAGGATAAAACATACACAAAATATTATCACAAGAGACAACAGAACAGAAAGACATTGAATGGCATATAAAACAATTTAACACTGAAAACGAGACCACACAAGATGTCACGAATGCACGCGCGCATATAGGCACACATACACACATACAAAGTAAAACAATTTCATGTGTAAATACATATTCTGTAAAAAGAGCGCCATTTTTAAGAAAACGTGTTTGAATTATGAACACTAAGAAACATAAATATGACTAAATAACGTAACAGGACTATTTTAAAAAAAAAAAATAAAACTATGAAAAAGAAATATAATGCATTAGAATTTAGACATGATAAAACATAACACACACACAACAAGAAAGAAATACCTTTCACTAAAGATTAATTTTTTAAGTATGTCACTGTGGTATGTTTTTTTTTTTTTTCAGGTATTACTTTGACATAAGAGGCACACAATAATAATAATTAATAAAGCACAATAAGCAGTTATTATGCCAATCTATGCTTGGTTCTTTATATGTCAATATGTATTCCTTTATATATCTATCTATCTATATTTGTCTAAATGTTTAAGGATATGCTTGCTTATCTATGTCTATGTGCGATTTTTACTTACAGCACCTCAAATCAGTTATTTGAAACTGATATAATTAGTATGCGAATCTCTCTCTCTCTCTCTCTCTCTCTCTCTCTCTCTCTCTCTCTCTCTCTCTCTCTCTCATACACACACACAAACACACATACACACACAAATAGGCAAGAAATGTCGATAGGAACGAGGAAGAGCTTATATTACCTGTCTGTATCTTCCTCAAAACAAAGACAGTGGAAGGAAAAAGAAAGATAATTGTATATGTAATACTCAGTCGAACTTTATTTTAACAATCGATAAGTCACCAAGTCTGAAATATACAACAATGGCGGATCGAGTAATGGTGCTACACTCACTCTGTATATAGTAACCGATTCCGATATGTGATTTAATCAACCTCCTGCCAGCCGCCTTCACATTCCATGAATTTTCCTAGTAGCCACGAAAGCTCTTTAGGCTAACAGAAGCACACCAAATCTCTCTCTCTCTCTCTCTCTCTCCTTCTTTCTCTTCCTATCCCCCCCTCTCTCTCTCTCTCTCTCTCTCTCTCTCTCTCTCTCTCTCTCTCTCTCTCTCTCTCTCTCTGGTCTCTTTCATTTTCTCTTTCATTCTCTAGGTCTCACGTTCTCGCAATCTTTCAGTCGGTCTCTCAATCAGTGTCTCAGTCAGTCTGTCAGCTGCCAGTCAGTTTCTCAGTCTGTCACTCAGGTTATTCTGTCTGTCTGTCCGTCCATCTGTGTATCCGTCGTCCAACTATAAGTTTGAAAATTGGCGTACTTGACATTCTATTTTTAAATACCTGGTACCTAAGTTTCTGGCCTCATTCTATGTACGCCGACAAATATATGTTGCCTTTTTAATGTTCTCAATTAACAATTTGTTCTCGACATCAAATCTCATGATTGCTTTCAAATTCTTACAGGGACATGTTGCTCAGGCTACTTGAGAGAGACCCGGCCAGAAGAGTCACCATCGCAGACTTCCTTCACAGAGTGCGCCGAGATAGTATCTACAGAAACATCATTGACACCAACTAGGATTTCAAGCATGTCCACAAAGCTATTGACATTGCCAAGGATTTAAAGTGCATGTATATATTTTATCGTTTAAAAAAGAATTACGAGTGTGTATAATATATGATAACTAAGTCTCGGAGCGCTGACAATCCCATTATTAAGGTCTACAACACCGAGTACGTGTGCAGGTGTGAGAAGCAGCTTCAGCCATATCATGAATGTTACTGCTGTGAATGAAATATGTGAGGTTTTCAGATTTGTTAGAGAACAGAATTAGTTATTCGAGATGTTGGGTGTGTCAAAGAGGAAACATTTTTAAAGATGTATTTTAGAAATGATTGCAGTCTCATATTGAAGTTAATATTGGCTAGTGTTGTATTTAAGCTCTCTGTTAGCATATTACGAAAATGGTGCACATTTTTTTTTCCAAATAACTTATTAGGTGATCTAGTAAAAATAGCATGAACCTTTTCCTTACTGAAGTTGTTGTTTGTCTTCACCGGGCCGATGGTTGTTATAGTCCGTCAATTTTTTTTTTTTTTTTTTTTTACTTTTTTTCATGTATCACAACTTAATTTTTGAATATACACTTTATATTTCTCCTTACGCGGACTATTGGTTCCTCTCCTATCCGGCAGATACACTTTGACTTCAAAACAAGGACATCTAATTAGCTGTCTTCTACGACACGCTTGTCCATTCCTGCCCCCTTTCCCTAACTGGCCCCGGGAACTCTCAGCAAAGTGCCAGCATCATTTTCATCTGAGAAATTTCGTATACCCTCATTTTAGGTTGGGTGGACTTGGCAGCCAAGGTCCATAAGTTACCTGTCTTGAAAGGATTGGAACTCATCATCACCGGGACAAACAGCCATGTGTACTAGCCATCAAGAGCGTCTATACAGATAAATATTTAGTGCGGTGGGGGGGGGGCGGGGCGGTGGTCACACATATTTTTGGGCAAAAATAGACGGGTTTAAGAGGCCTAAATTTAGTTTAAAAGTATAATAAAAACACTGTACATAAATATTCCAGTATGTTTGAAATAATATGAAAGGGTTAACACGTACTTTAAAAGAATTTGTATACATGGTTACAGTCAGATGCTTGGCTTGCTAATAAGATCTTGTTTGCTCAGTTCCGCCCCCCCCCCAACAAAAATATATTGGGGAGGGGGGGGGGGTCGTCAACGGGGTCTGAACCCCCAGATGTCGGCGTCTCTGCTAGCCACTGCTGTAGACAACTGCCCAAGTTTAACTGTTTCAGAACAAGCAGGCATTATTTAACCCATTCTTTGGTATCCTGTTTGGGGTACGTTATAAATTAAGAACCCATTCTTTACCAGGATAATCTTATTTTAGCTGATACCTGTTTTAGCGTAATTCGTTAAAGAAACAAAAAAGTCTGACAGTTAAGTAGTAACATATGGAGTATAATGGATACAACTGCGTGTGGCGAACAAAGTTACACAACATGTAAAATGTATACTGGACCCAAGAGAGGTGGGACGATGATAGCTTTGTGCGTTGCGTGTGCATGAGGCAGGTCTTGTGTGTGTGTTGGAGATTTACCTCATGTAAGTACCAACAAAAATCTAATTGTTCCCTGGCCTCTTAGCGTTCGTCGGCTTTATATCCCTTTGGACATTTATGATTATTAATCCTCTTCTTAAGTGTAGATTTGTTCCTGAACTTAGAGTTTCGTGCAACATATGTTTTACGGATCTGTCTTAAGTGTGTGCAGACTGTTGGTTTCTCGCCTCTCAAGCAGCACTGTAACTTCGAAGGAGATATCCCAAAGTTGTCTTTACGACATGCTTGTTAGGGAATCAGTGGGTTTAGAATAGTCTTGCCCGACAAAAATCGGACCCACAAATCATATTGGGAAATTGCTTAAGACAGTGGCTGTTAACCCACAACCCCTTAATACAGTTCCCTTATGTTGTGGCCACCCACCCACACAATTATTTTCCTTCATAACTTCAATAAATTGAAGGTCTCAGGCGACCGTGTGAAAGGGTCGTTCAACCCACACAAAAAGAGTCGTCGCCGACATGTTGAGAACCGCTGGCTTAAGGCAAAATTCGCGTTTATCTTTATTGTGCGATATTTATCCAAATGTATTCGCCATGCTTGTGTTTTTTTCCTTGTTGTGTATTTTTGTATCATGTATTAACTGTATTGAATCAGCCTTTGAAAATGGAAAATAAATTTATCAGAACAAGCGATGAGTTTGTCACTACTAGAGATCATCATTTTTCATGTCTCTAAGCTGTGTGCCTTCCTTTTTTAATCTCCTTCTCTTCTTCTTCATCATTCTGTTTGTGTTACTTTCCTTCCTGTACTACTCGCTAATACTACAACTATTACAACCAATACCACGACGACAACCATCACCGTCACTACCATCACCAATACATCCTTATACATTACCAATAGTACGACATCTTTTACTATTATTACTGCTGTATCTGCTGAGTCACCACTGTTGTTGCTGCAGCTGATACTACTGCTGCAGTTGATACTACTGCTTCAGCTGATACTACTGCTGCAGCTGATACTACTGCTGCAGCTGATACTACTGCTTCAGCTGATACTACTGCTGCAGCCGATACTACTGCTGCACCTGACACTACTGCTGCAGCTGATACTACTGCTGCAGCTGATACTACTGCTGCACCTGATACTACTGCTTCAGCTGATACTACTGCTGCAGCCGATACTACTGCTGCACCTGACACTACTGCTGCAGCTGATACTACTGCTGCAGCTGATACTACTGCTGCAGCTGATGCTACTGCTGCAGCCGTAACTACTGTTGCAGCTGATACTTCTACTGCAGCTGATATTACTGCTGCAGCTGATGCTACTGCTGCAGCCGATACTACTGCTGCAGCCGATACTACTGCTGCAGCCGATACTACTGCTGCAGCCGATACTACTGCTAGAGCCGTAACTACTGTTGCAGCTGATACTTCTACTGCAGCTGATACTACTGCTGTGGCTGATACTACTGCTGCAGCCGATACTACTGCTGCAGCTGATGCTACTGCTGCAGCCGAAACTACTGCTGCAGCTGATGCTACTGCTGCAGCCGATAGTACTGCTGCAGCTGATACTACTGCTGCAGCTGATACTACTGCTGCAGCTGATACTACTGCTGCAGCTGATACTACTGCTGCAGCCGTAACTACTGTTGCAGCTGATACTTCTACTGCAGCTGATACTACTGCTGTGGCTGATACTACTGCTGCTTCTGCACTGACTAGTGCTGCAACTACAACCACCAAGAAAGATGAAAATAAAATAATGTATATTTGATACAGAAAAAAATTAATCAATCATAAAAGCATTCGCAACACTTAGAAAATTACCATAACAAAGGCTAGTCTACCGATATCCTCCACACGTTGCTGTTGACACATACGGCTTCACAAGCAAAACAGACGTGCACTTACCAACAAGTCTGAGGTGTGGAAGTCCGTGGCCTCAACCCCTCATTATTTTTAGGGGTTTGGGTTCAAGAGGCTTACACTTTGTTTAGTGCGTAATAATAATTAGTATCAAGCTTTAGGTGTTCAATAAATATTTGAGAGAATACATAATGTCATTATCAGTCATGTAGCAGGTCCTTTTCCGAACGTCGCTTTTATCACTGTCTGACAGAAACTCAGTCTTTCGTCAGCTCTCCCGTCTCATGTACTTTCCCATCAAATGTGTCTCTTATGTTCTGTGCCCATCTTCCTTCTGGCCGGTCCGTACACTCTTTCCTGGTACCATGCTTTCCGAACACTTAGCTCAATTCCAAATATGGGTTTGGGGTTCAGTTCACCTCAAAGTATTTTGGAGGGTTTGGGTTGGTGGGGGGGGGGGGGCTGGAAGAATTTAGGAGCTCAGTCCCTAATTTTTTTAGGGTATGGTCATGAAAGTGCTTAAGCACCCACGTTCATAACTATTCTCCATTGTCGCCTCTTTGCTCATTTTCTGTCAGTGGTATCCCGTCATTTTGACATTCCTTGATTTCCCTTTCTACTTCCTTCTCCAGATTTCCTTAGGTTGCCCGCGTCGCCACTTTTTTTCCATCTGCTGTTCAACGGGGAGCTGTCCTTGCCAGATTGTCACGACGCATCCTGCAAACATGGCCAGACCATTTCTATTTGTTTTCATTGATAACTGCTGCTAGTGGCAATGGTACACCCCTATTTGTTCCTGTGTGTATTGTTTAACCAAGAAAAGTAGTAAAGCATATGTTAGCAAACGACGGATGGGGGAGGGGGAGCAATGGCGCTGGAGGAAGCTGCATTCATATCACTAACTGAATGCAAGCCTGAGTCACAAATGATTATACTCACATTTGCTTGCTCAGCAAAAGAAAACATTATTCATCCGCACTTCAACACGCTTTTTTCTATGCTCAGTCAAATGGGTCGCTTAACCAAACAAACTGTGCTGTAGTGAATGCTAACCACTACAACGTCAAGGGAGAACACAGAGCAGACTACATAGCAAACACTGGAAGTCATACACAATAGTCACTTGTTCTTCTACAAGTCCATGCCGTGAGGCTCTGGTAGTCATGTCTATCCACAGCCTTCTGTCTCGTATAGTTTCAATCAACCCTGACACATATGATTTTCCATGCTACGATGTCAGACCGTCAAGCATCTGTTTCCTCTGTCTCGCTCTGCCTCTCCTAACCTCCATCTTTCCTACAGTCACGTTGTACTCCAGTTTTCTTCTTCTCATCACATGACCAAATGATGTGCATTGTTTCTTTCTTATGTTGGCAATCAGTTCTCTTCGTGAGTCAGTTTCTTTAAATACGACCTTATTACTATTTTTATCTGTCCAGGGTATTCTCACCATTCCTCTACAAAGCCACATCTCCGCCACTTCCAAAAAAGTGTTCACTGGTTTACTAACTGTCAATGATTTACGTCCGCATATCAATATCAGACTGATATAGCTTTTTAAGAATTCTCTTTCTCCTCTCATTTGACAAGGATAGATTGCATAAAATATT